CATTTCTTTTCAGGTTCTGGATCCTTCTGAATCCATTTCCAAACTTCTGACAGATCAGATTCCCCCCCCCCCCCCCCCCCAAGGAGCCAGGCATCCAGGAGACCCTAACTGGAGGCCACAACCCCCCTGGGCAACCTGGATTCCTTCCATTCCGGTTCAGGCTGCAGCTGGGAATCTGATCTGTTTGAAGTTTGGAAATGGATTCAGAAGGATCCAGAACCTGAAAAGAAATGTCCTTCCAGCTGATTTGAACACGCAGAACACTTCTCAGTTCTCTGAGAAGGTGGTTCTCAAGTGAGCAAATCCCCACCGAATGCATCAGACGGGAGTGTCCTTAGAGGGCGCGTGGGTGGTAACGATCTGGTGGCCGCAGAGTTGGAGAAAGCTCGGTGTGGCCCGTGGGGAGTTCGGTGTTTCAGCCCACTGTCTCTGCACTGTTCTCGTGAAAGCAAACACAGAATCTGTCTGTAACTGGGCTTCCTCCTACCTCTCGCCTCCCGTCCCCCCTGAACGTAAATGTGCAGGACGGGACGTCGACGAGTCTCTGTGTCACTCTGCTTTCTGTTCGCGTGGCACCCACCGCGCTCTGGACCTCACTGGCACCGAGGGCTCTTTCTGTCCCCAGAGGCCAGACCACGACCCCGGGTCCCCAGCCACCGTGAGGCCATGGCCCTGGCTGTCACTCTTGCACATTTCCCTGCCCTTGGCGAATTTTCTCCTTAAAATCCTGCAGCGGGATCACCGTGTTCCATGCAAACGGGCTGACTGTGCCTTCCCGCCCCTGAAAGCTCAGGGAGCACAGGTAAACGTCGTCTCTGCTTTGGTTTCACTCAACATGCTTTGTCCAAACAAGGGCGGAGGCCCCTCCTCGCCCCCTGGGAGGATTCGTGCACGGGCCGGGGACAGCGGCCCCCAGGACAGGAGCCCCACCGGCCGGGCAGGCGCGGGTCCCTGAGACCCAGCAGCCTGAGCACTCGAGGGTTACCCAGAGTTCAGTCAAACTCCTCCAATGGAGGGTAAGTGCGATGAAAAAAGTTCAGGAACGCTAAGGAAAGCCTCAACAATGGACCATAAAGCTATTATTCCCTCTTTAGGAGCTCTAGCAAATTGCTTTGGAAAATGAAAGTGCCATAGAAGGAATATTTCCAGTGGGACCCAGGGACGTCCTGTGTGCAACTGGTCACTCAGCAGTCTGGAGGGGGAGGCTGTGGCAGCGACGTTAAAGTTCTGAGTTTGTTTTAAGCTGTGGCCTTGGCTAATCGCGACGGGGCTTTTTAAAACAAACTTCCAGTTTTTCTACCGAAATGATAGTCCGCTCAAGTCTTTTAAAAACTGACTTTTAAAACTAAAAATGTGTTCTCATGGCGGTTCCTTCACTTGTCATAAAATTAATGGAGACCATTTCGTAGTTAATGGAATTGTTTCTTTCAAATTACTTTTTAATTTCCACTTCCTTGAGCTCTTAGAAACTGCAGGTTGCAAAATTGAAGCTTAGGTGAATTTCTTCTTTATTAGCAGAGGAAGGCGCCGAGGCCTTGCCAGACAGCTTTGCACTGAATTACAAATGAAAAGTAATTTTAAATTGTGCAGGAAAAGATCTCACTGAAATCACACAGCTTTCTTTTTTGCCGTAGCTGGGCGACGTTTGAGTCTTTCAAACCCTCTCATGCAACCACGAAAACAGAGCAAAACCTCTGAGTAAAATATTGGCGAGTCCCATGTCAGCCTAGGCATAATTTTATTTTCATGACCTTCTTCTTTTTTAATCTCTGACTTTATTGAAGGCTCTCTTTACACTTCATGTGTGGGTTAGAAATATTGGTAATTGTGAGTGTATCTTCCCAAAAGGGTTTTCTAGGAGAAGAAAGGAGAGGGTTTAAACCCTCTTTTTCCATTGTTTCAGCTGCATTTCTGACACAGCACAGTGATATTTTTGATGAAAATGTCCATACCAAGCCTCTGGGTTTTCCTGAATTTGTCTAGCTAGAAGGGAAGGACCAAGATCTTTTCTGTCTGTAATTTTTTAAAGGTGTAAGACATTTTTTAAAAAACCCTGCATTAAATTAGCAACGGAAACAGTGGTCTCTGCTTCTAAGCATTTGTAGAACTGAGAATCCCTTCTCTTCTCTAATTCTGGAGCGTGCACAATTCTCACACAACACCCACGCCCTTACTTACACATGGACACACAGTCACTGCAGACTGCAACATTTCTTCCAAGATACATGCCCCGCGGGGTTTTAAAATGAATGTGTTGGGCCCATCGACTCATTATATGACAACAGGTTTATGAGACATCAGGTCTGGGACCACTGACTGTTTGCTGAGCCTCGTCCCCAGAAGTGTCTCTCGTAAGGAGAAAAGAGCGTGGCAGGAATGAGTGGTAGGAGGCTGGTCTCACGTGCCATGCCAGGTGACACTTGCTGCTTAGCAGTGACACACGAAGTAAGCACATCGCGGAGGCTCTGCATTTACCTGGTCCTTGATGTTTGGACAAGGACGGCCGTCTGTGTGCAGGCACGAGTCCGCCCGCTCTCGCTGCTCGGACTGGGATGCCTTAACTCCACGTCCTCTGGCGCTGGCTCCCGGAGCGGAAGCACGGCCCCTGACTCTACTGTGCAAGCGCTCCCAGCAGGTTGGAGGCGGTGGGCGCACCTGTGGGGACCCCTCCCCAACACACCCCCCACATCTGAAAACCTTGCCACGTGGCCTCTATCTTGGAGGGGAAACGGGTTTGTGTACTTTTTCTGGATTCATTACAAGAGCGCTCGGCCCGGGTCGGGCCCCAGCTCTGCTCCTGCCCGTAAATCTACAGGTGTTGTCGGCCCCGGTCCAGTCCGGGCCCCGGGACCGCCAGCCGAGGGCTCCGTGTAATCAGCTGGGCTCCCCTGCTCGCCTTTAATCAGCTGCTGACACCTCACTGTTCAATATCACGGCGAGCCCGGTCGCACACAATGAAGGACAGACTCCTGGAATTAAAAAAAAAAAAAAAAATCTCTGCTTAGTAACAAACATAAAATCCATCATTATTCAATGCAGAGGAATTTTGTTTTACTGTAACAAAGCATCAGTTCTATTCCTGGTGCTTTATTTTGATTGCAGGAGTTCTTTTTTTGACAAAGCCCGGGGCTCTGTACAAAGAAACATTGTATCTTTTGTTTATTTTCATCCCTCTGAAATAGGGAACACAAAATAGGGAACAATCTTTTACCGGAGAGCAATTAGTCCCATCCCTGTTTCAGAAAATGTTTGAACACACAGGCTTAGAGAAGCGAATAGTCCCTCAAAAATTACCAACCATTAAGTCATAAAGGCGACTTAGAGGCTATTTTCCTCCAGCAAATAACCATCATTTCCTCGAAGTCCAGTTCTTTCTGTAATTAAAGTCACTTATTCATTTGAGGATTTAAATGTGCTTTAATATTTTAAATGTTAAATGGCCGCAGTGTCCGCGTAAAACTCAGTATTTTGAGCCCAGCACGGGGGTCAACTACACATATAATTTTGCCACTGCTCTGTGGTGCGTGTTTCTCTTCTTGGAATAACGGTTTCGAACGCTAGCATGCCGCGGGCAGGAATCAGGAGACAATCCATGCTGTACCCGGCGGGGGCTCTATTTTCCCCGGGCTCCTCCAGAATCTCCCAAATGAGTCTCAAAGCCTGAAGGTTTACGGCAAGGCAGAGAGGGGGTCTCGGAGTGTTTATTGATACAGAATGTTCGAGACTGACAGACAGGCCTTTGCGTATGATCAAGCAACTTTCTGTGCAAATCTTATGGAATGTGGCATTCCAGACTTTAAAGGGAAGGCGAGATCACCATGGCAACGGCACATGGGGGCTGGAGATGGGAATCCCCTTGGGAGCTCAAAGGCCAACCGAATTTTAAGCGTCTGCAACTTAAAAAGAAAAGGAAAACTCTGTTAACTCTGTCAACGATGTCTATAGAAATGGGATATGGTTAGAGGTCTCTTCAGAAAGATCCGAATTAACCCAGCTCAGGCCTGGACGGTATGACCTGCAAAGGACAGTTGGTTTTATTTTTTAAAGAAGGGCAGGTCCTGTTTTGTTTTTTGTTTTTTGTTTTTTTTTGTTTTTTTTTTGTTTTTTTGTTTCTGTTGAAGAGGGAGATGTTGTCACTGCTAACATCCGGGAAGGAGCAAAATTTGGGAAAGAGGCCAGGGACCGGCCAACAAGTGTCGTCGGCTGGGGGCCGCCCCGCCTGTGGGCTCCTGACCACCCAGGCTCAGTCTCTCCCTGCTGGGAAACACGGCACAGCTGAAGGCTGCCTGCGGGCCCCGGGCAGCCTGGCCCAGCACGCGGCTCCGGCTCGGAGACAGGCAGAGCCTGTCAAATACAGCCCGCGGCCAGCGTGACTCGTGGAAGTGTCTTACGACGCAGGTGAGAAACGTGAGAGATGGGGTGTAAACAATTGTGATTTGTGGCATCTACAAGAGACAACTAAGAAAAGATAACAGATTTGTAAATGGGGTACGTCGATCTCACTCAAAGCAGATCATTTGTATAGCGCCCCCCCCCCCCCCCCCGGCGCCCTGGTGTCCCGTTCCCAAAAAAAGGCCATTCTGAAAGTGCAGTGTGAAGATCCAGGGGTCGCTGGTCAAGTGAGTCAGCACGTGCTGGGAGTAGAGTGTCCGCGTGGTGGGGACAGGAGCCGACACGTGGCCCTGGGGCTCTGCAGGACTCCCGGGCCGAGGCCGAGGCCCGGGGACAACATGGATACGGAAGGCACCCAAGGCCTCTGGGGATCCCAAGAGGGCCATGAGCCACAGGCGCAGGCTGCCGGCTTCCCACCTCCCGTGCTGGCCCTTAACGCCCGGAAGTGAGGCAAAGCCTGAGAGTTCTCTGGATGACGAGGTCGGAAGAGGGTTTCTGTCCCTCATGTTTGTGGCCAGGTTAGTGCAGCCCCGGGTCCCAGGTGGTGGTGAGCCTGGCACGCTACAAGCCACACCCCAGACGTCACGACCACCAGCGTCATTTCACAGTGGCCCTGGTGGCATGGGCTCCAGGGGCTTGAAACAAACACATCGTACGTGTATGTAGAGATGGTGAAAGGGCCCAGGGGCCAGTGGTCCCAGTCTCTGGGGGACAGCAGGGTGGCGGTGGGGGGGGGGGTCTGATGTCCCCTGCGGGGCCTCGAGGGGTTCCAGGCTTTCCCACCTAGCTGCTGATCTTGTGTGATTCATTTTGTTTCCCAGAATCTTTATTTTCTTGTCTGAAACATGGGTCTAATAATATCTTTGCCACCTCCAGGGACAAGCAATCAAGAAGAACAAAACCAGGTGCCAGTGGAGGGAGGGGGGAACGAAGTGGGAAGAAAGGAGATGTCCGTAAATGACCTTTGCTCTCTTCCTGATTGTGAAAATGACCTCTGGTTGTCATAAAAGTCCTTGGGAATGTGTAGAAAGTGGACAGGAGAATATGAGGAAGGCAATTCCTACCGGAGTCCATAAAAACCTCTCCTTCCCTCCCCCTCTGTCACTTGCAAATGGGCTCACGATTTGACAGAGTTTTTATTGTGATAAAACACACACATTACCTATAAAATTTACCTTTGTAACCATTTTAAAGTACACAGTTTAAGGGCATTAAGTACATTCATGTAAAACTGTGTGGCCATCAGCACCATCCGTCTCTAGAACTTTCTCATCTTCCCAAACGGAAACTCTGTCGCCATGAAACAGACTCTCTGCCCCTCCCCCAGCCCCCAATGCCCGCATCCTTCATCTGTCTCTCTGAATGTAATTACTGTATGTACCTCACAGAAGTGGCATCATACAATATTTTTCTCACGTGTGACTTATTTCGTGTAGCACATGTCTTCAAGTTTCGTCCATGTTATAGCCTGTGTCCCAGCTCCCTTCCTTTTTTTTTTTTTTTTTTTTTAATTTTTTTTTTTCAACGTTTATTTATTTTTGGGACAGAGAGAGACAGAGCATGAACGGGGGAGGGGCAGAGAGAGAGAGGGAGACACAGAATCGGAAACAGGCTCCAGGCTCCGAGCCATCAGCCCAGAGCCTGACGCGGGGCTCGAACTCCCGGACTGTGAGATCGTGACCTGGCTGAAGTCAGATGCTTAACCGACTATGCCACCCAGGCGCCCCGCTCCCTTCCTTTTTAAGGTTAATGCTCTGTTCCATCCTGTACCACATTTTGTTTATCCATTTATCTACTGACAGACAGTAGAAAGCAAGTGTTGCTTTCTCCCCTTGGCCAACACTTCTTATTTTGGGTTCTTGTTTGTTTGTTTTTTTTAATAGTCATCCTAATGCATGAGATGTGGCATCTTGTCATGGTTTTGATTTGCATTTCCCTAATGATTAGTGAGGTTGAGTGTCTTTTCATGTGCTTATCAGCCATTGCATACTTTCTTTGGAGAAATGCCTGTTTGAGTCTTTTGCCCATTTTTGAATTGGATGACTTTTTTTTTGTTGTTGTTGTTGTTGTTTATGGATATATATATATATAGATTTATAAAGTGTTCTTCTCACTTTATATATGGGGAACATCTTACCTTGGAGATGATACATGTCTACATTCATGGTTTCCAACCCATCTTTCTGTCTCCCCTGTGCTCTTGCCCTTGAAAGAGGGGTTAGGTAGTGGTTACAAATGCAGACTCTGGCTCAGACCCCAGCTACACGCTTTACCAGCTGTGAATTTCTGGGCAGGTGGCCTCCTCTTTATATACATTTTCCCACCTGTGGAATGGATATTTACTAATGCTGGCCACCTACATGGTGTGGATTACACAAATCGATCCATGTAAAATACTCAGAGTCCTACAGGAACACAGGAAATACACAGAGCACTCAGCTGTGTAATTTGTTGCTGTTGTCCTGAATTCCACACGATGGGTCTGGACGCTAGTCCAAGGAAAAGCAGACTCACAAGCAGCAGGGTTTCCTGGGATGCCCACATTCATTCTAGCGCTGTCACTGAAACTGAGGCTTGGTTCCCTTCCCTTCTGCCTCTAAATACTACCCTTCTTTGAGATCACAAAATTATCAGTTTAAAGTAACTTACCCCGAGAGGTTAGGTAACTGGTGCTGCGGTTACATTCTGGAAGTGCTTGCAACTTCACTCTGCTTCATGGGGAGGGTGTTTGCAGAAAAGAGCTTGTGTGTGATCACAGGTGTGCTTTGAGAGAGACAAAATCAAGGTGGCAAGGAGCTTTCCAGCAGCCTGGCCCCATGCTGCCTGCTCTCCACATCGTCTGCCCTCCCCCTGGACCCTCTGCTCTGCCCTAGCCCCGCTCTGCACCAGCTCCTCACCAAGCCTCCCCACCCCATCACTCTGTGACCTTTTCCCCACGCTATTACCGTTCCGATCTCCCAGCCGAACTCCCACCCCGTCCTACTGTCCTGGAAAGGGACTTTCAGCTCAACTTGGGTGGGCATTTCAAAGATGTGGGACTGTGAACAACACATTGGCAGGAGACAGAATACTTGAGTGCTTTTGAAGGCAATTTATTGAATTAGTGTTGCTGGAATTACACGTGTGTGTGTGAGCGGGTGCACACACACACACACACACACACACACAGTTTCTGCTATCCCCCCATTTGAACAAATTCAGTGTAAATGTAATGAAAGGTAACTAACTGTATATTAAATATTTTTACATATTAAATGTTTTGAAACTAAATTTCACTTTCTTTTTGTAAGTTTATTTATTTAGTTTTATAGAGAGAGAGTGGGGGAGGGGCAGAGAGAGAGAGAGGGAGACAGAGAATCCCAAGCAGGCTCCACGCCCTCAGCGCAGAACCTGACTTGGGGCTTGAACCCACCAACTGTGAGATCATGACCTGAGCTGAAATCAAGAGTAGGACCCTTAACCTACTGAGCCACCAGGCGCCCCTAAATCTCTGTTTCTGATGAACCACTGGCTATGTCTTCTTGATTAAAAAGAATAGGTTAGGTATTTTAAACTATGGTGGGATTGTTTTCCATCTTGATTGTTATGGAGCTATATGTCAAGTCTGTCCTTTGTAGGGTAGATTTTAGCCAATGTAAACTACGCCCTAATCAGGACTGGACAAATTCTGGGTCATGAATGAAGGATGTCAACGGACTCTACACATGACGCCAACAGTCCATCAGCAAACTTTTTTCACATAACGAATAGACTCAGTGGTTATTCTGAAACCTTGGGAGAACTGGTGTCCAATTCTAAATGTGGACCAACTGTGGGAGTCTGTCTTTTTGCCTTTTCAGCCTTCCTCCCTTTCCTGGGAACCGTAGTCTCTCCTTCTGGGGAACTCATCCTCCCCTACATGAACCAGTGGTGCAGAGGGGCCTTGGGTCGTGGGGGCGGACATAGCCCCCAGCAGAGCCGGGCTGAATGTATCTATGCAGGTGGTGCTGGTCTACTGGGAGGTGCAGGCACAGGTGAGTCAGCATGCTGTTGATGACCAAGGTCAAGGTGGCCAACGTCAACTGGGTGAAAGAAGACAAAATGCAGGTGAGAAAGTTGGAACTCATGGACCCAGAGAAACAGGGGCAAGAGAGTCCCAGCAGTGCTCTGCCCCTGGGTCCTCACACAGGACCACCCTCCGTGGTCATGCAGCCTCTGGCCTCCTCTGAAGTGATGTGTCCTGAGTAACGAGCCTGTCTTCTCTGTTTGAAAACGGAGCCAACTTTTTAAAATGCCCCTTCCAATTTGACCTTCAAAAAAAAAAAAAAAAGGCTGTACAATTATACATGTGCTTTAATCTAGCCATTTCCTTCTAAAGCACTAACCTAAGGAAATCCTCATGAATGTGTGCAGATAGGTAGCTGGAAGTGTGGTCACTGCAGTTCTGTTTATAGTAACAAAAAGTTAGAAACGACCTGAGTGTGAAATGTCAGAGCAACATGGCCTCAGGCCTTGGGGGCGGGCATAGCCCCCAGCAGATGGAAATGAGACATAGTACACACTACAAAGGAATGCTGTGTAGACATCGGGAGGAGGTCTGATGACACGGAAAGAGGGAAACAGTGTGACTTTGCATTTCAGAAGCAAGCTTTCAAAAATCACGACCACCTTTCTGTTGCATAAAAACAATATATGAGGGAGGAAAGAGGGGTGTCCTCTGAGAAGTCGACAATCACTATCTCTGGAAGTGGGATTCTGGAGGAGTCATTCTTTTTTGAAAAAAATCTATTATTTTATGTATTTTTCAACAGTCAACATGTGTTGCTTTCGCATTAAACAGTTTCTGGCCTTTTTAACATTTTACCATTTATTTATTTTTGAGAGAGAAAGGGACACAGTGCGAACTGGGGAGGAGCAGAGAGAGAGAGGGAGACACAGAATCCGAAGCAGCTCCAGGCTCTGAGCTGTCGGCACAGAACCTGACGCGGGGCTCGAACCCACCAGCTGTGAGATTATGACCTGAGCCAGAGTAGGACGCTCAACGACTGAGCTACCCAGGCACCCCTGCATTAAATGGAAATAACAAATTTGTAACTACAGAGGAATAAATCAAAATAATATCCATTATCCCCTTTTCTAAAAATCCCAACAGAGATGGGAGGAAATCAGGGCCAGTGTGACTAAGAAGCTTGCCCAAGACTTGACCTGTAGTCATGGAGGCCCAGTTGGGCTGCCCATCAGGGAGGGGAGATGGCAGCCACCCTGAGGCCGGCCGCTCCCTGGACACAGGGTCCTGGCTGGGTCCTCCAGAGGACACTTACGCCTTCATGTTGCATTAAGTGAGGAAGGGCCTGGATCAGGCTCATGGAGTGCCAGGCATACAAATTTGATTAATATCAATTACTAGTAAGACCAGTCGAGTTTGTAAATATACTGTCTTCACCATTTCCAAGTGCAGCTTGGTGGCCACATTTTGTAGTTTTCAGGGTGCAAGTCTTTCTCCTCCTAAGTCTTTAATTCTTTCCGATGCTCTTATACATGGAATTGTTTATTTAATATCACTTTCGGACTTTTCATTGTTAGTGTATAGAAATGCACCTGATTTTTGTGTGTTGATCTTATACCCTGCAATTTTGCTGAATTAATTTATTAGTTTTATCAGTGTGTGTGTGTGTGTGTGTGTGATCTTTAGGAAGGGGGAGGTAGGCAGAGGCAGACAAGCATCTATACAGAGGTGCAGTTCAGGGGAAGCGAAACTCATAGAGGCTCAGATAGGCAGTTCCAGGAACTAAAAGACACTTCAACAAGAGAGTAAAGACAGGCTTTACACCATCTTCTGGACCCCGGGCATTTGAGAGACACTCATTGTAAGACAGATTGTTTCCTTGAGGCTATGGGTTGACCCTGAAGTCCTTTGGGGACTGCTGTGAGCAGTGCAGGTGTGATACAGAGGACACGTAGGAGTCAGGAGGAGCTGCCGGGCACGTGGACAGAGAAACAAAAGTGAGGACCGAAGCCTGTTTCCCCTCCAAGAGCCGTAGGGTGAGGTAAGAGAGGAAAGTCACTGACACCTGCTGGTCATCGCTTACTCCCCGGTTCTGAGTCTGCACCGCCTGGGAGGAGGGAGTCAGCAATGAGGCAGTGAAGACTGTTCACCTGCAGAAAACTGAGTCCGTAGTGAAGAAAACAAGATTTTCAACGTTATCTCAAAGTGCAGATAAGAAAATTATGAGCAAGAAAATGATAGACGCAGAAGACAGAGGATAAAGATCCAACCCATGGAAAAAAGAGGAAGTAGAAAAGGCCAATGAAGGTTATGATAGAAGAAAATGTTCCTGAGCTGTTTGCAAAGACCTGTGCATGCAAGTCAAGAGGACCCGTCACTCACTACCCAGAGTAACTTTCACATCTAATGACTATTTTGGAAAAAGGAGAGAAAAAAGGAAAGAGGAAGAAAGAAACAAAGGAAGGAAGGAGGGAGGGAAGGAAGGAAGGAAGGAAGGAAGGGAGGAAGGGAGGAAGGGAGTAATGAAAGGAGAAAAGAGGAAAGGTAGAAAGGAGGCATAGAGTAAAGGACAGAAGAAGGAACATGATACTTGGAACTGATTATACCATGTTTCTAGTTAAGGAAGACTAAATATCATAAAAACATAAACTCCTTCTAAATTAATTCAAGTAGAAATTCCTACAGGATTTCTCTCACTTCATTAAAATAGGTGCATCTGGTAGAAGTGGACATGACTTCAACAGATGAGGAAAAGAAGGGACAGGAAGATAGGGAAGAGAAGCAGAGGATCAGCCCATGTAGATATGACCATGCTTCAATCCACAATAACTGAGTAAATTTCTGGTCATTCCAAAGGATGCGGCAGTCATGAGATTTGTCCATGTCTGCTCCAAACACTTAGAACTGCTGATTTAGCCTTAACGTATTGAGCCAAGACAGAAAGCAAGAAAGGAAAATCTCCAGCTCCCAGAAATAAAGAAGAATATTGGCAGCTACAGCACTGAGCAGGGGTTGGGGTTGTGCACTCCCAAGGGGGTTGTGGAGGCTTTGTGGTAGCAGAGGCCACAAGTGACCATGAACAGTGAGGATCTGGAAACACTCTTATTTGAATCGAGCAGATGAGAAATTAGAAAGGACAGAGCAGAAAAATCTGTGCTTCTGGCCCCAGGTCATGGTCTAGAGGAAAACTTTCATAAGGCTATGCTTTGTGCATGTGTGAGGCCCAAATTCACACTGCTCTTGGAGTGCGCAAACACCATGCTGAAAACCAAGCTCACAGACAAGAATTTGCTGTGGGTAAGTCCAGTGAGCGTCAACAAAGACAGATCACAGAACTCATCCCCCCCCGAGCAGAAGAATTCACACCCAAAGAACCAGATGTACTAGAATAATCTGAATGAAACTCTAAAGTAAAGATACTTTACATACTCCAAGACCCAAAGGAAAGCAAAATAAGAACAGGCAATTATGAAACAAACATAAAATCTGAAAAACAATCAAATAGAAACCCTGGTTAGTGAAGTAGAAAGAAGAAAATAACTTCCAGTAATAGACATGATGTAGCTGAAGAGAGAAATCACCAAGTGGAAAAAGTGTGGTCGCTCGGCAGCAAGCAACACCGAAAGATGAAGACATGGGAATACAAATTGGAAATTCAGAGACATAGAAAACAAATAAGAAATTTAAATATGCGCCCTGTAGGACTCCAGAAAAGCAACAGTGGGGCTTCGGAACATGCAGTGTTTGCAGAGATGGCCCCTGAACATTTTCTGGAACAGAAGGAAGGTGTAAGTGCTATGATTTAGAAACATCCTGAAATCGTAGACAGGCTAAATAAAGCAAATTCATATGAAGACAGACCATAGCGAACTGCCAAATACCAAGGAGAAAAATCTTCAAGGTGACCTGGATAAAAGGACAGACACACAACAAGGGAGCTACAGCTTTGCCAGTCTCCAGGGTAGACCAGACATCAGAACACGGTAAAGACCTACCAGCATTACGTTGGTCAGTGCAGATCCGGGACAGACAGACGAAAGGAGCAGGACAGATGGCCCAGAGACAGAGAAGTGGGCACTTGACAAAAGGAGGCATCACAAAGCAGTCAAGACTGGGGAGATTAGTCATTAAGTGGTATTCATACAGTTGATTAGCTAGGTAGGAAAACACACCAACTGCCTTGTACAGCTGCCATCATTAGAGTGAAGACGTAACATTTTAAGTAACAATAATACAAAACGTGACATGCGTTATGCATAAATTAAAAGTGAGTTCAGGGCGCCTGGGTGGCTCAGTCGGTTGAGCGTCCAACCTCGGCTCAGGTCATGATCTCACAGTTCGTGAGTTTGAGCCCCGTGTCGGTCTCTGTGCTGACAGCTCAGAGCCTGGAGCCTGCTTCGGATTCTGTCTCTCTCTCTCTGCCCCTCCCCTGCTCATGCTCTGTCTCTCTCTCTCTCAAAAATAAAGATTAAAAAAAAAAATTTTTTTTAAGTGAGTTTAACATTGATAATGGTCAAAGAAACGCAGATCAGGACAATAAGCTATCAGGAGCAGAGACTTTTAAAATTAAATTAGTTAATGAATGAATTTGTAAATGTTTATTCCTTTTTGAAAGAGAGAGCAAGCAGGGGAGGGGCAGAGAGAGACAGGGAGACAGAGGATCTGATGCGGGGCTCAAACTCACAAACCATGAGATCATGAGCTGAGCTGAAACCAGGAGTGGGACCCTTAACCGGCTGAGCCACCCAGGCACCCCTAAGCAGAGAATGTTTTTAAAAATGGTCATGTCCTGCTCTGGGGACAGGGTGAATGCCTGGGTTATGGCAGGGGTGGGGATACAAACTGTAGGGACACTTTCAGAGAGTGTGTGAAGTGTATTCAAAGTGATCGTGTGTCCATCGTCTTTGACCCAGGAATGCCAGGCTGAATCACCTACTTTAAAGAAATAGTAAAAAATGGAGACAATTATTTGGGCATGAAGATACTCATCACCACCTCCCTTATAATAGTGAAATCTGAGAATAACTATAATAGCCATCATCAGAGTTACATCTTTAAATTAACAAAGGACGATTAAGCAGTGAAATATTATACAGTCAATATAAACTGTTTCCCAAGAGTTTTTAATAAAAGAAAACGTACATGGGATAATGTTAAGTACAAAAAAAAAAAAAAAAGATTATGTTGCTGTAGACCGAAGATGCTCACAGGTTCTTTTAAAGAGCACGCAGCTGGTGATGTTTTTGGTGGTTATCTCTGAGCAGTACGTTGTGGGAGACTTCTAGTCCCCTCTTCACATTTGTGTGTAGTTTCCAAGCTTCCTACTGTGAGTACTGCTTTATACGCACCACAAAATAATGGATGTTTAAAAAATTAAAACCCCGGAAGGAAACGAATCCTTTGACTTCAAGGTGCACTGTGGTTTAACAAATGGCGAGAAATGTTGCCCAAGAATCTTGTGTCAGAAAGTGTCAGAAACCTTTCTCTGGGGAGAAAAGATGGTGGGAGGAGCACTTGTCAGGGGCTTTGAGGACCCTCTTTGTTCTGGGACCCAATGACATGTGGGGAGAAGGTTCTAGAATGTTAAGTGCCCTTATCCCTTAGCTCTTTGCCCTTGAGCTATGCTGACACCTTCTCTTCTTCCCACAGGACTCAGCCTCAAGTCAAAAACTGTGACCATTGCACCAAGGCTGCCAAGAGGGGGACCAATTAGTACAAAGTAAATATTTCTCAAGTGGGAAAGTGAATGGAGGCCACCAGAGCCCCCCTCCGAAGGCAGAAAGCACAAGGTTTCATGCACCCCCTGGGCCAGCGGCAACCAGAGATGAAAGAGACAAGAGAGTGTCCCACAGCCTTCTGGGCCAGTGCCCACTCGGCAATTAGACCTCAACATTTATTTATGGAGCTAGCATTGCACACAACGCTCCCATTTCCGCCTGCAGATAAAGAGCAGAGATAATGAGCTGGGCATGGGCGTGGAAGCTTCAGGAACTCTGTGCAGGGACCGCCCCGCAGCAGCAGGCTTCCGGAGCGCCTGGTTCTGAATGAGAGTCAAAAAGTTCCGCTCACCCCCCTACTCCCCTGACCCCCTTCTCACCACTGGCCCTTCCTCCCATGCATCTTCCCAGGGGATATTTATAGGGTTTCCACCATTTCTGGGAGGCAATTTGAAAGGAAAAATAAGGCAGAAGTGATGCACTTTCCTACTCCGAGCTTGGGGATGCTGTCGCTGGCCCTCACTGTCCCACGTCCTCTGCCCCCCAGCCTGACACATTCTGTCACCAAATACTTGCCTGGACTTGGCAGTCTCAGAGATCATTAATAATGAAGACCGAGAAGCCACCTCCCCAGCTGTGCTGGTGATCTTTCCAGCAGATCTGTGCTCCCACAGGAGTGTTCTTGGGCCTTCCGGGTGTAGACCTGCATGGAACAGACAGGCTCACGTCTGGGGGCAACCGGGAGTCTGAAAATTTATAGCGGCTTGCTCTCACAAAATTTCCTCACCTGTCTTTGGACCCGCTGTTATTAGCATTAGGGTAAAAATAATAAAAAAGAGCTCATACCTTAGAAACCAGCGGGGTGGTAGCTGATGAAACCCGTCACTGTAAACTTGGAGTATTTTCGAGCTAACCGGAGAGAGAGAATGGCCTCTTTCTCCCCCTCAGGTAGAACCACTGCTTCTTCAAACGTGAAATTGAAAGGCCAGAGAGAGAAATAGGTTACCTAGTACATTTTGAGATGTAAAGTTAACTTGGCCATTTTAAAGAATTTAGAAGGATGTTTTTCCTGTTCGAATGACCAGAAGTCAGCTTCTTCTAGAAGTTTTTGGAAGTCCCCTTGTACCCATCGTATTGTCGTGTTCAACTAAAACATATTCAGAGGAACATGAAATGATTAGTTAACTCAAACATACTCTATCGGTGCCTCCGTGAGGTCCTTTAATGCTGATGAAAACATGCCTCGTGGGACAGACTCAGTCTCTGCTGTGTCTCTGAGGGCATGGGATCAGATCCAATGACTTGAGAAAAGAAATACGGCGATTTTCCTACAAACCCCGAGAGCTGGTTTGTGTTAGCTTTGTTGCATTAAAAAATAAAATAAAGGGGGCTTCAAACATATAGCAGCCTTGCTATTTAAAACAGGCAAGGAGAATCTAAACTTCTGAAAGGACGAGCAAGGGTGGCCGGCCAGTGAATGTCAGAGTCGTCAATGACTTTAGGGGACTGAGAAAGGATCATCGGGTCTTGTACGGGTGCATTTTCACCCCCAAGCCAGATTATCCACATGGGGACGAGGAACCTTCTATCTTCTATTTTTCCAAAATGCACATGGATGTTGAGCTCACTTTCCGTGTGAGCCGTGTCTCTGAACAGTTGCGATTCATCTTGTGGGGGTTACTGTTACATGCAAAATTTTATCTGAAAAACGACGAGGGAAGTATAAGAAAGAGCTACTTGAAAATGTAGTCTAATTTTGTTTTATTTATAAATTTTTTTAATGTTTATTTATTTTTGAAGGCGAGAGACACAGCGTGAGCAGGGAAGGGGCAGAGAGAGGGGGAGACACCGAATCCAAAACAGGCTCCAGGCTCTGAGCTGTCAGCAGCCCGACGTGGGGCTCAAACTCACAAACCAGGAGATCAGGACCTGAGCTGAGATCACGACCTGAGTTGAAGTCTGTCGCTTAACTGACTGAGCCACCCAGATGCCCTGGTCATGAATGTTTAGTAAAGAGGGGTCATCTCCGCTGGAAACAATCCCCACCCCCTCTTGGTTCTCTGCTTGTCCAAGGGAAGAAGAATTACTTTTGGGCACATGCTACCGCTTCTGGGAGGCAGGTGCTCAGGACGGCTGGCCTTCCCGAGCTGTCCTAATCCTCCTCCTGGAGGGTTCTGTAGACCTGCAGAGCATGACCTTCAGCATCCTTGACCCCTTGACCGTGGACTTTCCTGGGGTGCCCAGGGCAGGGGAGCCACTTGGTGGCAGAGGGGGCCGTTGGTATCAGTGGGCACCAGACAACATGTGATGGGTTCCACTTAGGCTCTGAGCTCTCTTCTTGTCCCACGACAGAATTTCCCAGGAGAAGTTACATTTGAGAGATTTTATATACAGTGGCAGGACACCTCCATCCCAGTCCCACACCCCAGTGAAATAGTTCCAGGAATCTAAGTGTGGTGCCCTTACACCGATGGGACAGCAAGTGCCCTGAGGTAAGATAAGGGGCAACCCCAGCCTCAGGGGTGGGAGCACCACGTCCATCTCACGGGCCCTGCTTCCCTCTTTCTCCCACTTTGCAAACTTCAGCCGCCGATGGGGCGCAGACAGGGTGGTGAGGCCCCAGGGTGCTCTTGGTGCTACGCACGCTCTTAGCTAGGCTGCATTCCTGGCAGACATCCAGAGTCCTCTCTTCGCCTCCTTCTAGTTGATGGCAGAACTCAGTTCCTTGCAGGGGAAGGACCAAGCTTCTCAGCATCTAGAAGTGGGAGTTCGCCAAATGGCTGTTTGCAGGAGAATCTCTCTGGCCTCTAGACCATTTGCTCCAGGGCTCACCTGATTGGGTCAGGCCCGTCCAGGATCATCTCCCTTTGGAAGGTGTGGCCCATTCTCGGGAGGAGGGGACTCACGGCGTGGACACCCAGGGTCAGGGAGCCACACTGGGGCTCTCCCTGCCTCCCCTCTGTGTCCCACATGGCAGAGTGTCAGAGTAGCTCAGTCCTCGCTCGGTGCTCAGCCTCTGGAACAGCACGGTCCATGTATTTGCCCCTGTCCTGGTGCCTCCTTCCTGATGTTCCGTGTCTTCCACACTCTTGTGCGTAGAGAACATCCTTCTAGAGTTGCTGTGCTGGTGATAACCTCCTGAGTCTTCCTTCATCGAGCACATCTTTGGTTCCCTTCTGTTCCTAAAGGGTAATCTTGCCGGAGATGAATTCGGAGGTGCTGAGCCCCTCCCTGCTGGTCTCCAGGATTTCTGGTGAGATGCCCTCTGTCATTCCAACTGTCTCCCCCTCTCTGGGTAAGGAATCAATCCCCCTGTGCTGATTTCAAGACTTTTGCTTTGTCCTTAGTTTTCTAAAGTTTGGTTGTGATGCATTTTGGCAGGAGGCTCTTTGAATTTTTCCTGGTTGGGCTTTTGTTCAGCTTCGTGAATCTCTAGGTTTACGTATTTTGCCAAATTTGGGAAACGTTCGGCCATTATTTCTTTGAGTCCTTTTTTGGGGTCCTCCTCCTCCTTCTCACCTCCTGAGAGTTCCGTGTCCCCCACGTTCGATCTTGGTGCGTTCCCACAGGGTCCCTGAGGCTCCGTGGTGGGGCTTCGCAGGCTGACTTCCTCCCTGTGGTTCAGATTGAACGATTTCTCCTTTCCTCTTCTCAGGTTCACGGATTCTCCTGCGTGTTCTCCTGTGGTGCCAAGTTTGTCCACTGGAGTTTTCCTTTAGTGTTTCAGTTACTGTTTGTTCCAAGTATCAACGGACTTGGGTCATACCTTTATTTAAATACCTTACATATAGCTTTTAAACTGGTCTATTTCTCACCACGTCCTTCTATCCCATATTGCAAACCTCACTTCCTAAGGCAGCAAACGTCTTTCGGTGATCATCGTGCACTTTTTTTATTTTATTTTTTTTAATGTTTATTTATTTTTTAGAGACAAAGTCAGAGGGTGAGTGGGGGAGGGGCAGAGAGAGAGGGAGACACAGAATCCGAAGCAGACTCCGGGCTCCGAGCTGTCAGTGCAGAGCCTGATGCGGGGCTCCAACTCACGGACCGTGAGATCATGACCTGAGCCAAAGTCGGGCGCTTAACTAGCTGAGCCACCCAGGAGCCCCTAATCACGCACTTTTAAAGCCACAAGACCAAGCCTCCAGAAACACTGTACATTCGGAACGGGTTGGCCCCACCCTCGGGATCCAGAGAGCCCTGGTTCATAACCTCCCCGCAGTGAGCCTTTGGGGGCTTCCACTAAAATACACAAGCCATCCCTCGGGACGGCTTGATGGCGAGGCCAAGCGTGAGGCCTCTCCCGCTACTGCTGGTGTTGGTCTTAATTTAAAGATCCCAAAGTAGAGCCTGGAGTTCTGGGTAGGACCTCTGTTGGGGTCCAGTGCCTCCCTGCCAAAGAAACGAGCAGTCTGGTTAGGAAACAATCTTTGTTCAGTCGGCCATGCTTAAACATGGCTGCCGCACCCTGACTCTGATGCTCAAACACCCACATTTCAAGTGCTAGCGTGACATTGACCTTTAGCGTGTGTTCTGAAACCGAAAGCCTGTTCTGTTCCGACATTGCCCCCACTGCGTGCAACGGAGACGTGTGCATCTGTCTCCTACCGCTGATGGGATGCACTCCGAGGATAGACACGTTTTCTTTTTTCTCTTTCTTTCTTCTTTCTTTCTTTCTTCCTTTCTTTTAAGTCATCTGGAAATCAGACCGAGAAAGTTCTCCAGTTAACTTTGCCACATCTGGGTGCTGGTGATTCACGAAGAGGCAGTCTCGTTCTGGTTCTCATTTCAAGTGATGTTTACAAGGAGTTTAAGTGGTTGCCTCTCAAAGAGTCCTCTTTAATATATAGCCACTTGCTTCTCACAGAGCCCGGCTTTTCCTTTTAAAAGCAGAATAACATTTTCCACAACCATATCTTAGGGAAACACTGGAAGGATTAAGGAAACTCCTATTTGCAAATCAATTTCAGATCGACTGGTCTGAAAGTATAAGATGTTGTTATTTTATTTGCTAATTAAAACCATTTCCTAAAAGTTTGCTTTCCTGCCTGATTTGAATAACAAAGGGAAACAGAGATAGAACCACATCTGTTGAATCTTCTCGAATATTTCTGAATAGGGGCGGAGGGAAAACATGAGACACCAAGAGCATGACGCACAGACACTGAGGAAACCGTCGATGTGCTGACTGGCAGATGGTTGAAGCCAAATGAACAAATGTGTTTCTATTTCTGCTGCAATTAAGCCTTTACTCTCCAACCTCAAGTGCAGGCGACCTGGTGTTGGCTTTTCCTCCTTTACGACAGGACTGAACCAGGGTTATTGCGCTCTGCGTTCCTTGCTCAGCCACCCTTCCTCCTCCTCTCCATCCTCACTTTTAATTCCCAACTAAAACAATGCTGATTACATCAGAATCGCCAAAGATTAAAAGGAAAAGGAAACGGATGGACACACAGCAGACTCGTGTTGTTACAAGAGCCTCTCGCTGAACGCAAGGTTTCGGAGGTCTTTCATTTAAACGGTGCGATTGGTGATCTCACATTGCCAACTCAGCCAACAAATGTGCTTTCAAACTTTCCATTTCCACCCCTTGTCACCTTAGACACCAGCGCCCTTTTGGACTCATGTCTTGTGTCCTTAATCACGCCTGTCCAAGTATGGACAGAAACGACTCCAGACCCGAGAGGGACTGCAGTGTCTCTGCTCTGACAGACACATCTTGCATGGTTTCTGTTTAAGGAACCACCTTTCTGGAAGCCAGGGGCGCCGAGGAAATGGCCCTGGACAGACAGTTGGTCCTGGCAACTTGGTCTTTCTGTCTGGAAGCCTGAACAAGAAACTTCCAGAGGGGGACAGCTCTCCCCAGGGGCTGCTGCTGGCATCGGGTGTGGTTGACCAGCTCTCCAGCTAAAGGGCTGGATGTTTGGGAGACGGGGTGCGTGGGACGGGGCATGACTCTCTCCCGCCTTCAGGTGGCAGCAGGAAATCACACCTCCCCCGTGTCCATCCTAGTGACAAGCCATCTGGGTGGGACT